GTAGTAGACCAGGAAGGCACCTGATCCTCAATAATAAATTTGTTTTTGGGTCCTCAATTGTGAAAAGTTTTTTCCACTGGAAAAATTGCTCATGGAATTTTCCTTTACTTAGGAAGCCATGGAAGCTGAGGAAGAAGCTGAAAGCTTGGGGCTTCTCTTGAGCTGAAGATCTGAGGCTGCAAAGCAAAAGGATAATGAATACTACAATCAATTACAAAAGATCCCTCACCAGGAATCCAGGTTTGTTTTGGTGGTAATTTATTATAGAGGGACCCCTATTTGTTTGAGGGGGGGGGACCCCCCTTTACTAATCAGGATCCAACATTAATGATTTCTCTCCTCAACATACGTTGTTGTCTTCTTAAAAGACGAGGGGCCGAGGGGGGCCTAAATTCAGCCAGTTGCGCGTCGTATTTCCAATGTGGTTTGATCCTTTTTGAGGGGCCTCGTACTGCAAAAAACCATGCGAAAATAACGTCGTGAAAACATGATTGAAACACAAAACGAGATTCTTCGGTTCCACGCATGATGGAAACTGCTAAAAACCCCATGGCATTAACAACGCCGGCAACTAGTTCTTGAACGTGTTTGAGCAATTGCGGGGGATGTCAGGCTACAGCATGGCTTTACGGGCCACCAACTTTGAGCCGTTGCCTTCGGGAGAGCGTTTCTTTCGTTGGAACATATTTGCCCCTTGCTGCTTGGAGATGCAGAAAATTCGACAAACGGTGGCGATGGACAGCGAAACACCTCCTGACATGGGCCAGTTCAGCGGCGATGTCCTTGAGTGGTTGGAGCTTTCGGCGCGCAAAAGACAGCGCGCAGGGTGAGAATCTGGTTGATAAACCAACGAACATAAGAATGCCTTGCTAAAGTTGAATTTGAATAAACACAAAGCCAGGCAGACGCAAAGTTGCTCATCAGCGCGCTTGGTGCCTAGATTAGATTGCATACGTCGTTGAACATACGTTGTGCCCTGTGACTCAGACTCAGACCTCTTGCGAATTTTGCAGAACTTGCGGTCAAATGCTTATTCCAAAACACCCAGGACTAGGCACCAAATCAATTATGCGATGGCTTCTTCAAGGAAACTCCCCCACCACTCATGCGGGCAGACCTCCTTAAAACCAGTTTTTGCACCACCTGTCAGGTGGTTGTTAGGGTTTACGTCAGCTGCCTTGCTGGCCTTGCTCCTCTCCTCTTCCTCTTCCTCAACCGCCAGCTCCGCATGGCGGTGTGCCGGACCTCAACCACCAGCTCCGGACGAGAGCGTTCCCCACCGAACCTCAACCACCAGGTCCGGATGGCAGTGTCCCCCGCCGGACACCAACCGCCAGCTCTGGATGGCAGTGTTTCCCACTTCAACCGCCAGCTCCGGACGGCAGTGTTCCCTGCTGGACCTCAACCACCAGCTCCGGATGGCAGTGTTCCTCCCGCACCTCAACGGCAAGGGCCGCGTTGCAGTGTCAGTGTTCCCCGCCGAGCCTCAACCGTCAGCTCCGGACGGCAGTGTTCCCCGCCGGACCTCAACCGTCAGCTCCGGACGGCAGCTTTCCCCGCTGGACCTCAACCGCGAGTCAGAAGATATGCCAGATAGAACACCAGAAAGAATGTCAACAAATATGCAAGAAAGAATGTCAGAAGACTTGCCAGGAAGAATGTCAGAAAATATGCCAGATAGAATGTCGGAAGAGATGCCAGAAAGAATGTCAGAAAATTTGCTGTAAATAGTGTCAGAAAGAATGTCAGAAGGTCAGAAAGAATGTCTGACATGTTGCCCAAAAAATGTCAGAAAAATGTTAGAAAATATGCCAGAAAAATGCCGAAATAAATTTTCAATACATGCTAGAAAATTGGTCAGGTTGAAATGTCATGGTGGGGATCACTCGAAGTAAAGTATTGTTTTGTGGTCCTGTGCAGTGTATAGCTTCCAATAATTGCTACTAGCTACCTACGTACCTCCTCTTCCCGGTTTGAAAAGTCTAGATTCTTCCAGGTGACTCCTTTGGTGTTGACCGAATGGCTCGACTATCCAGGCGCCATAAGCTAAAACTTCTGGAGCCGGAGCCTGTGACGCACAACTCTCAGCACGCGATTATGCTGTTTGCCAAAAACCCTCCGGGAACCCAACTGGATCCCATGGCTTCCCACCATGGCATTCTTTATGGGGCCACGGGCCGCCAAGGGGGTCCCTTGAATTTGTGGTTTGCATGAATTTGCATGTGATAGGACACTGGATATTTTCCGGTTTGACCTCACATTGTGGTTCTGGTGTTGTATGAAGATTCTGGGCCAATAGGTTCTCCTCAGGGTCCTTTTGCCGGTGCGAGGTCAGAACCAAAGCAGCGATCTTTTGCAAAAGAGATGATTCAAGCGATGAAGGAGAAACTCTTTGGAACCAAATCAACAAGAACGCCTCACTTCGAGAGAGGTAAACTTGTTGCAAAAAACGCATGATGTGAATTTGTTGCATCTTCCCATGTTTTGTTTATATGTCGTGGGCATTTTATTAGAAGTAATTGAGCCAAGAGCTGGAACCGGGATGTGCCAAGTTTTTCGGAGACCTTGGAAGGATGTGTTTAAATGTTTTTAATACAAATTGTGCGTTCTTATTCATCATTCTCCATGGTCGCCCGTGATGTTTGAGAATGTACGCCGGCAAAACATGCCAAGAACAAAGCAGCCTTATCTTTTCATGTTCACTAAAATCATGCGGTGTAATCACATTCAGGTGAGGTTGGAATTGCGCTGATGATATGCCATGCATTGGGTTAGAAAGGGTTGCACGATACTGTGTTCAGATCAATGTGGTCCAAGATGGTCCAAGTGCTTTCTTTTTTGAGGAGAAGAATGTCGACGCTCTCCAATGCATCATCGACGATGCACTGAAGCAGGGAGTGCAGCTGCAAGGTCTTGAGGTGGAGATGAGATAAGCAACAATCATGTGATATGATATATATATATGATAATATGTTGTAAGTCTTAAGATAGAAGCTGAACACCGCTTGTTAGTGAAACATAGTGAAACCATTTGCAACTATAGACTGTTTTAGGACAGGGGACCAAGCACGGATGCACTTTATGTCGATTTCACCACCACCACAATTATTGTTTCTAGGTTCTCGACATGTCATTCTTGCCGTTCATGTGTTTTGTTTACATGTTTTACATGTTTTTACAATGAATGGTTCAAGCGCCACCTGTTCTTGAAGTGTCAGTCGAACGCCCTTTCAAGGCAGCCCGCCGCAAACTGGCAGAATGGGGTGCCAAGCCACTAGACGCAGCCAAGAGGTCGGCATATCAAAGATCGATCTGGGCCCAAGTTAGCCCTTGAAGAAGCGATCCGGTGCACTAAATTCTGTGTTGTGTCAATACGTGTCGATCCGATGTTTGAAGCCGCAATTGCTGACATTAAAGAATAGGACATGATCTAATCCGTAGTGACAACCAAGAATTCTGTTTGAAGTCAAAGATCGACCGCGTCATGATTCTGTTGGAAGGACACCCACCACTTCTTCGACCGTGCAGCTACGCATCGTGCTGCCGGATGGCAGGACGGAGACCATCTCATGATTTGGGGAGATGTCGGATTGGGCCTTCCTGGATGTGCATGTTTTGTATGTCAAAGAAAGGACAGAAAGCAAGGAAGGAAGGAAGAAAGGAAGAAAGAAAGGTCAAATGTTCTTCCGTTATAATCTCTGGAGTGTTTGTTCTTTTTCGTTGCAAGACGAAACCTCTCAAAAAAAGTTGTCCAGATCTGCACTGCTCCTAACTTAGCTGACTAGAGTCCCTCAGAAGTGGTGAAGTGGTGAGACAAGATTGATTCCTGTTCAACACTTCATACTATATCGTTCTGGTCTCATTGTATGCTATAGTAGTTCAGCAGACATGAGAACTGAGTAAACATTCATGACTTTCGCCATTGCAATGAGTGCAGTGCAAGGCGGGGTTGGCTGCCGGTGGACCGGTTGTGGACAGGCAGCGTTGTGTTATCAAGCCTGCCCATCCAGGAGCCACGCTAAACAAGACAGCGGGGGGAGACACGAGTGGCCTCGCGGCCAAAATTTCTTTGACTCGTGAGATTGATTGGGATGGTACCAGGTCACCTGTATGCGTCAGTGCGCAGACTCAGACCCTTTCTCTCCCTGGATCAACCCCCTTGGCTATATGTTAAACTGCCCCACCCTCCCCTACTTGGCCATTTTCAGTAACATGTTGGCCAGGAAGCCGCACACTATTTGGGTTGCTCTTGCAGCCAGCAATTGAATTGTTTTGAATCAGTATTTGGCAATGAGCGAGCTGACTCAATATGTTTGTTTATTTTACACTTTGCGTTTGCGACAGCAACGAATCTCTCACAAGTTTAGAGAGTGGATGTTTTTCTTGGCTTCCTTGCAACGGGATGCCGATGCGCAGGAGGATCGCAGCAGCTTGCATTTTTGCTTAGCGCAAGAGACAACGCTCCGTGGCGCGGTGGAGTTCTTGGAGCAAAGTCTCAGTCTGGAGAGGTGGGGTCACTGGACTTTGCTTTTCCTGTTTGGGTCACTAATAGCTTGTTGTTACTAGTAGCGATGCACTTGTTACTA